CAACTCATGTGGTCCTTCTGTCATTCCCTCATTCTTAGAATTGTAGAATCCCTGCAGTGCAGAAAGAGGCCATTTAGCCCAGCAAGTCTCACCAACCCGCTGAAAAGCATCCCACCCAACCACCATAACCCTGCATTATCTATCTGGCCTGAACATCCCTGGACACTATGGGACAATTTACCAAAATCAAACCACAATCTTTGGACTGTGAATGGAAAACAGAGTACCTGGCAGAAACCCCCCGCAGACACAAGGAGAACATGCAAACTCCATACAGACAGTCACCCACAGCGGGAATCAAACCATTGTACCACCCAAACCAATCTGGAAAGGGGAAATCAATTGATGGTTCAAAGAAAACCCCATTACCAAGCAAAGAGGCCACAGCAGAAACAATAGCCTTTTTTTTTCTCTTTACGAATGAAAATGGACTCACGTTCATATCTAGCACTTTCTGATAGTAGATCACAGTTTGGTGAGTGTGTAGGATTATATGGCATTATGTCAGTTTCTGTATTGCAATATATAACAGGCAGTAATCTGTTTAAACAGAAGCAGTATCTTCTGAGTGGGGAGGTGGGGGAGAGAGAGAGAGAGAGCTGTTGAGACCTGTGATTGAAGGTGCATTCATTACCAATGCCCATATCAAAGCAAAATACTACGGATACTGAAAATCTGAAATAAACAGAGAATGCTGGAGAAACTCAGCAGGTCTGAAAGTATCTGTGGAGATAGAAATAACATTACCATTTCAGTTCAGTTTCAATCCATCATAACATTTCTTCAGAACTGGATGCTGTTGGAAAATATTTTAAAAATACTTTTGACAGAGGTGGAGGCCCTTCACAGTCGGCAAAGGGGTGGTTAATGATGGTGAAAGAGAAAGAGAGATTTAAAATCAGTGTAAATTAAAGTGTGAAAGAGAGAAAATGGGTCCTCTCTATTAACAGCAAAGTAAAGAGTCAAGATCTCAGGACTCTTCAGATGTTCTGAGGAAGGGTCACTAGACCCAAAACGTTAACACTGATTTCTCTCCACAGATGCTGCCAGACGTGCTGAGCTTTTCCAGCAATTTCTGTTTTTGTTTCTGATTTCCAGCATCTGCAGTTCTTTTGGATTTTTTTTAATAAGCAAGGGTGGTTTGGTGGTGAGAAGAGAATGTAAGAGTAATGGTGAACAGATATGTGGTCAATTTCTGAAGTTATTGACTCCAATATTGAAAACATGAGGCTTTAAAGTACCGAAGCAGAAGATGAGGATTTGCTCCTTAGGCTTGTGTTGTGCTTTGTTTGAACATTGCAACAGGGCCCGGACAGAAATGTAGCATGAGAGCAAGGGGGGTTAGGTGACCACCCAGTTGCCTGCAATTTTAATTAACCTCCTTGCTCTCATGCTAATATTTCTGCCCTGCTGCAATGTAGGATAGAATATCCATCCCTAAGATGTATTTAGAGGTGGAGGGCATTTAATCAGGTGGGAGGGTGGCTGGTGGGATTTTTGCTGGCAGCAGAATGAGTACCTTCAAATTGATTCACCGCCTGGTACTGATATATTCTTGAAAGAGGACCTTATATAGAAGCAGGAGCTTTCTCTCAGCCTTACCAGAAATGAAGAGGTTAAACAATCACTCGCAGTGAAGAATCCATCAGAGAGCGTGTGTGAGCAAGTCTGAAGGTACAGAGAAGCTAGTGTGAGTGCCTGGAGCTGTGGGAATGTAGCAACCTGTCAAGCCTGTATTCCTTGAGTGTTGAATAACAGTGAAATGCAGTGAGGGTGGGGGTGTTCAGCTGCTGTAAATTGTTGTAAATTCCCAAGTCAACACTGCTCCAGCGTCTTTCAGTTTAATATGATATAGAGGCCAGTAAGTGAAATCATTGGCCATCACAGGAACGGACACAATGAACAATCATAAGTGTCATTCTGCAGAACTGGTTTTCAGGATGAGGTAAAATGTGAAAAACGGCCTTTTACAAAATGTTATAATTAGAGATCTCTCTGGTTAGTTTGACAGCCAAGACTGAGAACATAGATAAGAACGCAACGGTCAGTCAATGCTAACCTTTGATCATTTTGTGAACACCGTGGAGTGGATACAGTTATTTTGGTTCAGCAATCTGCAAAACATCAATCAGTCTCTCCTGAGTTCATTGTTGGACTTGTTGGTAACAGTTTTATAGTTAAAATCTCCAGCTGTGGTCCAGTCCAAAAGCAAAGGCATTTTATCTAATTCTCTCTGAATAAACCCTGGAAATTATTTTACAACTTGTATTCAATAAAGCTACATCCTCTTTCTGAGAGGTAATGGACACTTTTTGTTTAATTTTTCCTATAATTATAACTTCACAGTCCAGTATAGTTCTTCTAAATCTTTTTTCTCCTTTTCCAGCATCTGTGTACTTTTTATAAAATGGACACCTGATCTATGCACAGTGCTCCAAGTTGTTTTGACACTGTAGGTGTACCATGCATTTTATTATAAGTTTTAGTCATTCATGGGACATGGGCATCACTGGCTGAGCCAGCATTTATTGCCCATCCCTAAATGCCCTTGAAAAGTTGGTACTCAGCTGCCTTCATGATCTCACTGCAGTCCATGTGCAGTAGGTTGACCCACTATGCCGTTAGGGAGAGAGTTCTAGGATCTTGAACCAGTGACACTCAAGGAACAGCAATATATTTACCAGTCAGGATAGTGAGTGGATTGGAGGGGAACTTGAAGGTGGCATGTTCCCATGTATCTGCTGCCCTCGTTCTTCTAGATGGAAGTGGTCATGGATTTGGAAAGTGCATCCTAAGAATCTTTGGTGAATTTCTGCAGTGCATCTTGTAGATAGTACACACTGCTGCGACTGAATTTTGGTGATGGAGGGAGTGTATGTTTGTGGATGTAGTGTCAATTAAGCGGGCTGCTTGTCCTGGATGGTGTCAAACTTCTTAAGTGTTGTTGGAGCTGCGCTCATCCAAGCAAGTGGGGAGTATTCCATCACACTTCTGACTTGTGCCTTGTAGATGATGGACAGGCTTTGGAAAATTAGGAGGTGAGTTACTCACTGCAGGATTCCAAGCCCCTGACCTGCTCTTATAGCCAAAGTACTTATATGGCTAGTCCAGTTCCATTTCTGGTCAGTGGTAACCCCTGGGATGTTGATAATGGGGGCTCTAGAGATAGTGATGCCATTGAATATGAAGAGGCAATTAATAGATTCTGTCTTATTGGAGGTAGTCATGGACTGGCACTTGTGAAGGCATTAATGTTACTTGCCACTTGTCAGCCCTAACCTGGATATTGTCCAGGTCTTGTTGAATTTGGAGACGGAATGTTTGAGGAGTCGCAAATGGTGTTGAAAATCATGAAATCATCAGCAAACATCCTCACTTCTGACTTTTATGATAGAAGGAAGGTCATTGATGAAGGAACTGCAGATGCTTCGGCCTAGGAGACTGCAGAGATGTCCTAGAGCTGAGATGGCTGACCTCCAATAACAATGACTATCTTCCTATGTGCCAGATCTGACTCCAACCAGAAGAGAATTTTCCCCCCAACTCCCAGTGATTCCAGTTTTGCTAGGGCTCCTTCATGCTACACTTGGTTTAATGTGGCCTTGATGTCAAGGGCTGTCATCTCACCTCACCCCTGGAATTTAAACCAAGGCTCTAATGAGGTCAGGAGCTGATTGGCCCCGGCAGAACCCAAACTGGGTGTCACTGAGCAGGTTCTTGTGGAACAGGTGCTGTTTGATAGCAGTACAGATGATACTTTCCAGTACTTTGTTGATGATCAAGAGTAGACTGATGGGACATTAATTGCCTGGGTTGGATTTGTTCTACTTTTTGTATATGTGACATAGCTGGGTAATTTTCCACATTTGAAAAAAAACAAAAGAACTGCACATGCTGTAAATCAAGAACAAAAACAGAAGTTGTTGGAAAAGCTCAGCAGGTCTGGCAGCATCTGTGAAGAAAAAACAGAGTTAATGTTTCGGGTCCTCAGAACTTCCTCAAGTTCTAAAGAACAGTCACCGGGCCTGAAATGTTAACTCTGATTTTTTTCTTCACAGATGCTGCCAGACCTGCTGAACTTTTCCAGCAACTTCAATTCTCTACGTTGTCGGGTTATTATACTGGAACAGCTTGGCAAGTGCGTGATACGTTCCAGAGTAGAAGTCTTCAATACTATTCTCATAATGTTATTATGGTCTATTGCCTTTGCAGTATCCAGTGTCTCCAACCATGTCTTGATATCATGTGGAATGAATCAAATTGGCTGAAGACTTGAATCTGTAGTACTCAACTGCTGGAGGAGGCCAAGATGGATCATCCACTTGGCACTTCTGGCTGAAGATTGCTGCAAATGCTTCAGCTTTATCATATACAGTAATGTGTGCTTTCCTATCATCAAGGATGGGGATATTTGTGAAAACTGTTCCTCCAGTGAGTTATCTAAATTGTCCACCACCATTCATGACTGGATGTGGCAGAACTGCAGACCTTAGATCTGATCTGTTAGATGGAGCTGCTTTTGCAGTTTAGTATGCAGTGTAGTCCCGTTTGGTAGCTTCACCAGGTTGACACCTCATTTTTAATTTTGCCTGTTGCTGCTCCTGGCATTCCCTCCTGTACTCTCCATTGAACCAGGGCTGTTCCTCTGGCTCTATGATAATAGTAGGGTGGGGGATAAGCTGGGCAGTGAGGTTGCTTCTCTTAAATCCAAAGAAGAGTCACATTAGACTTGAAGATTTAACTTTTGTTTATCTCTCCACAGATGCTGCCAGACCTGCTCAGTTTCTCCAGCATTTTCTGCTTTTATCCCTAATTTTATACCCCATTTCACTTGCCATAAGCAAAAGTAGTCCTTTGGAGTCACTTGCCATACCCACACACTAATTTTGTGTGATTCATGAGATGAGGCACCTGGGTCCTTAGATCACTGTCTCCTTCAGAGTTCATGTTACACATATAGATGTACATTTTGTTAATAACTGCTCTTAACTTTTTCTCAGGTGATAATCTGTGCGTATCAAAAGGAGCAGCATCGTGTGCAGAATGTCTCCAAATAGAACCGAATTGTGCCTGGTGTTCACAAGAGGTAAGGCAGAGGACTGCAGTTACTGTTGCTGAATCATCATTGCCATCCTTAGAGTTACTGTGGACCAGAAATTAAACTGGGTCAGCCATACAGTTGGGTGGCACAGTGGCTCAGCGGTTAGCACTGCTGCTTCTCAGCGTCGGGGGCCCTGGTTCGATTCTGGCCTCGGTCAACTGACTGTGTAGAGTTTGCACATTCTCCCCGTGTCTGCGTGGGTTTCCACCGAGTGCTCTGGTTTCCTCCCACAGTCCAAAGATGTGTAAGTTAGTTGGATTGGCCATTCTAAATCACCCTTAGTGTTCAGGGATATGGGGTTAGCAGGGTGGGTCTGGGGGCGATGCCCTTCGGAGGGTCGGTGTGGACTTGTTGGGCCAAATGGCCAGTGGGGTTCTATGATTCTATACAAGTACAGTACAGCTACAAGAGCAAGTCAGAGGCTGGGAATCCTGCAGCAAGTAACTCATCTCCTGGCTCCCTAAAGCCTGTCCACAAGGCATAGGAATGGAATACTCCCCACCTGCCTGGATTGGTGCAGCTCCACTATAGGGTCATACAGCATGGAAACAGACCCTTTGGTCCAACCAGTGTATGCCGAGCATAATCCCAAAGTAAACTATTCCCACCTGCCTGCTCCTGGCCCATTTCCCTCCAAAACCTTCCTATTCATATACTTATCTAAGTGTCTTTTAAACATTGTAACTCTGCCCGCAAACTCTCAACCTCCTAGGCTTCAATGAAAATAGCCCCAGCCTATCCAACCTTTCTTTCCACCTCAAACCTTCCATACTGGTAACATCTCTTCTGAACTCTCTCTAGCTTAATAATGTCCTTCCAACCCTCAAGAAGCTTGAAACCATTCACACAAAGCAGTCTGCTTGATCATAACCCTTTCTACAACCTTCAACACTCACGGCCTTCACCACCAATGTGTAGTGGCTGACATGTGTCCATTCTACAAGATGCACTGCAAAACTCACCAAAGTTCTTTCGACAGTCTCTTCCAAATCCATGACCTCTAACACCTAGAAGGACAAGAGCGGCAGACGCATGGGGACAGCATCACCTGCAAGTTCCTCTCCAAGTCATACACTATCCTGACTTGGAAATATATTGCTGATTTGATTTTGATTGGATTTGATTTGATTTATTGTAGTCACATGTACTTATGTACAGTGAAAAGCTTTGTTTTGTGAGTAGTACAGGCAGATCATAGCAAACAATGACATAGAGATCAAAGGTACTTAGACAGAGCGAGGCATACAGGTTATAACTGCACAGGAGGCCCGCAAAGCAAGATCAACATTAGCAAGATCAACATTATTTGAAGTTTGAGAGTCCATTCACCAGTCTAATCATGGCAGGGAAGAAGCTATTCTTGAACCTGTTGGTGCATGTGTTCAAGCTTCTGTATCTTCTGCCTGACAGAGGAGGTTGTGGGAGATCATTACCAGGTTGGGAAGGGTCTCTGATGATGTTGGCAGCCTTTCCGTGGCAGTGAGAGGTAAAATTGTAATTGTACTGCTAAAAGTCCCTGATTAATAATGTTCAAGTGAATGATTGTTCTATGCTGTGTAAATGGAGCAGGCACCTTGATTAATTGAATTGACTGGGTTGTTGTGTTGGGCATGGATTCAAGTGGAAACTGGATCTGTTTTCAGCTGGGGCAGATGTCACTTCATATAAGGTATAGGTAATGTTTAACATTGGTTAGGGATAGATCAGGGTGTTCTTCTAGCTTGGACCAACAAAAGAGGTTGAAGAGGAATTATACAGACTGTCTTCTCCCCCATTTGACCTGAGTTCATACCTAGTTGTTCACCTCTCCCATGACTTTAAGGAGGTCAGAAAGTTATCGAGAAAGTTCATGGCCAGCTTGCTTTCTGTGGACAATCCAGTCAGTTCCACTTCCCCATTTACTGCCCATGAGTTGAATGATCAACTATGATCATACTGAATGGCAGAACAGACTCGAAGAGCCGAATGGCCTATTCCTGCTCCTATTTTCTATGTTTCTATATGACCCAGCATGCTTCATTCCCTCAACTGCCCATTTCAATTACCTTTTTTGATTGATTGATTGGCTTAGCTTTTGCCGCTCTCGGGGACAGTGAGTTCCAGATCATTAACACCCACTGCATAAAAAAGTTCTTCCTCATATCTTTGTGCTGCAGTACAAGCTGAGATCTGGCCATTAGATACTGCATCGTGATTGGGTTATTGACAGGCCAAACACAATTCCTTTGGTCACTGTCAAGAAGCATGGAGACCCCTGGTTTTTCCTTGACACAACAGAGCCTGAAGTAACTCCACGAAGGCTGGTATTCCGTCACTAAGTCACCCTTTACTTCACATACATAGTACATGACACTGGTCCGGCTAGCTTAGAGCTGGCTCCTGGAGTGAACAGAACCCCTGACACTCCTGTTTATATCAGTCAGCCAGGGCTCCCTCATTGGACCAGGTTAATGGCCCCAATCATGGAACTCATATTCCATGAGGTCCACCTGGCTGACCTCATTCCATTCACCACAAAGCCTATTCTTTCCTGTGTGGAAGTAGTAACCAGCAGGTGTAGAATGGGGTATTGTGTTGTACAAGACACCTTGTCTGTATATGATGGCCTGCATATAGATCAAGAGGTATACTCGTGATAATTGTGTGACTCTGTTATTTACTAGGAAGTGCATTCTTCAGAAAACAGCCAGAGATTTGTGTAGGAAGTAAAGAAATGGCTGATAAGCGACAAATGTTGCTTAGTGTGGATCAAGACCGATTGAGATTGTGGGAAGGAGAATAGCCAAGGAAAGCTGATGTTAGTCTACAACGCACCAAATGAGCAGAGTCTAGGGATACCAATGGAATAGTCAATAGAACCACTGACAGCAGTGATGAGAGCACTAATCCCAAATGTGACTCTGAGTTTGTTCTGTCTTTTTATCATGCCATCAAGATGAAGGTTCTGAGGAAGGGTCACCGGACCTGAAACGTTAACTCTGACTTCTCTTCACAGATGCTGCCAGACCTGCTGAGCTTTCCAGCAACTTCTGTTTTTGTTTCTGATTTATAGCATCCGCAGTTCTTTTGGTTTTTATCAAGAACTTGTATTCTTTCAGTCACAGCAGAAACCAGCCGGGCTGTGTGTAGAGCTGGAGAAACTGTGATCGTTCGATAGTGTGTTCAATTGATCTCAGTGTAAACTAACAAAGTTTGCAGATGTTTAAACAGTTTGATCAGCTTTGTGAAGATCTTTTTCTTCCAGAATTGAGCTCTTTATAACTTCAGACAGCCTCTCTCAACATGCAGATTAAACAGAGACTAAAACAAGCCAGACATAAAGCCTCAATTGTGCTTCAATGTGTTGCGCACTATCAATGATCTTTTTAGTGCCCTTAACGTAACCATCCGCACCTACGTACATCATGGTGGCCTAGCAATCAGCAATGATGCAACACTTGGAATTCTGCATTAATTACACCTCTTAATGCAACAGATAACACTTAAACCCTTGAGTCACGACAAATCGTACTAACAGTAACTGGGTAAATTGCCTCAGATCATGTTAATTACTCATGAGCAAAGAATTCCACAGACTATGTTAGTGTGTGAAATTTTTGGTCCTTCCCAATTTTATTGGCCTAAACACACCATCCCTACACTAGCAGGGTTTCAGTGTGTAAAGTAACCATAGTTTTAGTAGGTCATATGGCTGATCTCTCATTAGTAGAAGCAGCTGGTGGTGGTTTAACCTGAGGGTCACTACACTACAAACAGGAGGTTGAGAGGGTGGGATCTGGAAGATAACCTCAGCCAGTGCAGGAATTGAACTCATACCATTGGCATCACTCTGCATTGCAAACCAGCTGAACAAAACTGAGCTAAACAAGCTGCAGAATGCAGTGCATCAATACAGTGAGACACATTCAATAGAGTTCCCAAATATATAACCTCCAGCATTCAGAAAGACAAAGACAGGAGGTGAATGAAAGCACCACCATTGCCTGCAATTTTATGTCCAAATTATGCAGATCCCATTGGGCAAGTTTCTTTGAATTGCAACTGAAGATCACTCCTTCAGTTCCCCACATTTACTTAGAGCAAACGACATGTCAGATATCGTTTTAACATTTCAAATTCAATTTTATTCTGCTGTACAGTAAAGAAATTCAGGAAATGATCCATCTGTATTTTTGAGACTTGATAAATTTCAGTTTGACCACACTGGCATTTTTCAGTTCTTTGTTTCCTGTGTTATAAGCTTTTTTTTGCTTTACTTTAACAGTGTAGATTCAAGCAATTTGTATAATTTATAGTGTCATATGCCCATAAAATAGGCACATGCCTTATGCTCAGGGTCAAATACTACCTTTGGAAATTCAACTCAGTGGCAAATAACGTGTAATGCATAAATGTAAGGAATTTCCTTCCTTCAGGACAGTGATGAGCCACTTCCCTTTGATGTTCAATGACATTAAAATTGAGTTGTATGCATCAATATTCTAGGACATCACTAAGGGCAACAAATGGCGGTGGAGTAGGGCTTCTGAGCCCCGGGCTCACTCGCTCCATTTGGTTTTCTTTTCGTTTCTTTCTTTTGTCTCTCTTTTCTCATTTTTTTTTAATCTCTTTTATATTACTTACCACTTGTTGGAGAGGTTGGTCGCAGCAACGGCATTGGTGGTGGCTAGTGAGCCCAGCACAGACTGATGGCGACAGTGCCAGAGGTGAGTTTGGGTTCCCGGTGGCTTCTGTGTTGATGAGACAGTCCTAGTTTCGACTTATGGCTGCTGCGGCGTAGGCAAGGTTTGGCCCAGTGCAAGACCCGGCTGCATTGGTGAATTGGGCCCAAAGTGGACTCACGCAGCAGCGGAGTCGAGTTTGTGCTGGTGCAATACCCAGCAGCATAGGTGGCGTCTGCACTGATGAGGTCCATTGAGGACTCATGGTGGCAAGGGAGTCACTGGAGGTGAAATGGCGCCAAAGTATGGTGACTTTCACTCCAGGGGTGGTGTGGCGAAGGGGACTCATGCTTTTTTTATTTTTCTGACCTTATATTCTATGTTTTGGTTTATTTTTCTTTGTTTTAAGATGGCGCCGGAGAGTGACGAACTATACAACATGTTTCACTGTATTTTATAACAAAATACACATGAAAATAAATAAATCAAATCAAATCAAATCCAGCTCAACCAGTCATGTGAATGTTGCAAGATAGGAGTTTATTGGTGGCTGTGAACTCTGTAGTAAGAGGCTCATTTCCTGACTTCCCAAAGCTTCTCCGTGCCCAGCAAAGTACAAGCTTGCTTGGATGAGTTCAGCTTCAGTAACACTGAAGAAGCTTGACATCATCCAAAATAAAGCATGCAACCTAGTAACCTGGACTCCAGGACTAAGCAAAGAAGCCTGGAGCTGGATGAGAAAGAAGGACTGATGCATCACTTTTCCTGGAGGATGATACTGAAGCACTGGATGACAGGAAGTGAAGCCATAGGCACTATTGCAGGACCTGTGACAATTGGCCATGCTTCAACACCTCAACTGATTGGCTCCCAGGCTTATGTCACATGGTTCCCAATCTCAACCACCAAGATAGGTTTGCCAGCCAGCATACATATCTGGATAATCCTATTTCCAACCCAAGACATGGAACATGAGGTCTCCAGTACTACCATCATCTAAACTTATTGTAGTATCACTTCCGGAAAGATTATGCTGATGAGCAAGTCATCAGGATGTGGCCAGCAACCATCGCAGTCTAGCCTGCAGCTAGAATTTTCTTGCCAACAATATGTGCTGAATTTTTACAGTGAAACTGTCTACTGGCCAAGCTTGTAAATAAATCCTGCTCCACAAACTGAGTTTCACAAACGGCAGATTGAAGCAGATTAAAGTGCAATTGTGTAAGGATATATTTATTGTGCAGAAACAATCAATGCATCACAAACAAATAAAGGAGTCTGAAGTGTTATGTTAAGAATTAGTGAGATAGTTTGACAAGTTATAGATTTTGGAGTTGGTTGTTTATCTCAATAGAGTGTAAAATTATCTCAGAATTTTAGACAAGCTGGACAATAAAATCTTTATCGTGCAATGAACAGAACAGATGGCAACAGTTACTAAAACAGAAACTGATCTGGTTTTAGAGATCCTGTATTTAACAATTGTTCACCACATTACAGTTGGCTGTTTTAAGCAATAGTGTTATCTTAGTCCAGTCACATTCATTCATCAGACATTTTCCATCAACCTTTGCTCTGGTCCTGCCAGTGGACCTAGGGTCAGGACATAGTCATGTTAAAAGATATGTTACTGTACCATAAAGCTCAGCTTGGTACCCACTGGGACAAAGGGAGTGGTAGAGAGTTTATAAACCTGTCACAAAAGGTTGAGGCTGATAGTCACAGGGTCCATGATCTGGCATATAGATTCTTTGTGAACCTATGTCCAATCCATCAACCATTACCTTTACTCATCTGAGGAAATGGTAAAGGGATAGTCATGATCATTCCCATTCTAAAGGGGTATTTTTAATGGTGCTCAATCTAAGGGGTATTTGGAGTGCCTTTGAACATATAAAATCATAACATGGTTTTGAGGGTGACTGTCACTCTGTAAGGGATAATGCTCCATATTTTGAAGGTGTATCAATGAAAGAGCCCATTCTAACAGGTATTAATAGTGATATAAATGATGGGACCTATTTTAAACTAGTATTGAGAATATCCAAAGGGTTTGATGAGTCTGACTAGTTGCTTCCATCTCAGAACAACACTGCAGGATGTGCTATTCCTGTCTTCATTCACAAATGTTCTTTATCGTGAACATTACTTTTGCAGACTGTGTTACAAGTTACATTTTTAATTACAAACAGGATTGTTTTGTGACTCATTTCAGGACTTTGGAAGTAGCTCTTCAAGGTGCGACCTCAAGGAGAATTTAATCCAGAAAGGTTGCGCGGAGAATGCGACTGAGTATCCCCAGGGTTACTTCCGAATTGAGAAGAACTTGCCCCTCAGCAACAAAGGGTCAAGTGACAATCCAGAGGCAATTGTGCAATTTTCTCCTCAAAAGATCAGCCTCAGCCTGCGTCGAGGTATGGAATACACCAGGGCTACATATCCAGTTTCCTGCACATTTCTGGCTCTATTCTCATGTCCATCTCTCCCCTCTATGGGCAAAGGTGGGGAGAACGTGTGACCCCCTCCTCCCACCTCCTCTAAACTGTCGTTCCCCACCTTTGCACCTCTAACATGCTCCAGAAAACAACCCCAGAACTTTCCTTAGTGACTTGATTACTGGAACTTATATTTCTAATGGAATCAGTATCTCCTGCGATCAAATTTACCATTGGTAAATCTATGTTTGACTTTCTGGACAATGTGGGAGTGAGTTTGAGTTCTCTCCTAAGCTATAGCAATGCATACCAATTCAGATGGAAACTCTTGAGGCAGTTGCTGAAGTAACATTTCACTGCCCAAACAGAGAGAAAGTCCCAGAGAGTGGTGACCCTGTGGAATTCACTGCCACAGAAAGTAGTTGAGGCCAAACTATCATGTGTTTTTAAGAAGGAGGTATATACAGCTCTTGTGGCTAAAGGGATTAAGGGATATGGGAAGAGGGTTGGATAAGGTATTGAGCTCTATGATCTGCCATGATCATATTGAACAATTAAGGGGCTGAATGGCCTACTCCTGCTCCTATCTTCTATGTTTCCATAGAAGAAAGAACTTGTTTTAATACCTTTAACTACTTCAGAACCATAAGATGTAAGAGCAGAAGTAGGCCATTCAATCAATGAACCTACTCTGCCATTCCATGTGATCATGGCTGATGTGATAATTCTCAACTCCACATTTCTGTCTTTTCTCCATAATCCTAAATTCTCTTAGTGATTGAAAAATCTGTCTATCTCAGCTTTAAATATACTTAATGACCCAATCTCTACAGCATTCTGTGGCAAGGAACTCCATCAATTTACGATGCTCTCAATGTGTGCTCCTTTATTCTGAGATGATACCCACTGGACCTAGACTGTTCCACAAAGGAAAACTACTTCTCCACATCTACCTTATCAAGCCGCCTATGAATCTTGTATGTTTCAATAAAGCTATCTCTCATTGTTCTAAATATAAATGAGAACAGGCCCAATCTCAATCTGTCCTCATAAGAAAGTCCCTCTACATCTGATATCAGCCTAATGAACCTTCTATAGATTGCCTCCAAAGCCAGTATATCTTTCCTTCAAAAAGGGCTCAAAACTGTTCACAGTATTCCAGCTGTGATCTAACTGTGTGCTTTGAAGAGCTTCAGCAAAACCTCTCTACTTGTACATTTCATTCCTTTTGAAATAAAGGACAAATTTGAAATAAAGGCCAACTTTCCATTTGTCCTCTCCATTACCCACTGAACTTGAGTGCTCAGCATTTCACAATTTATGGTCGAGGACTCCCAAATCCCTCTGTACCACAGCTTTCAGCAATCTTTCTCCATTTAAATAATATTCAGCCCCTCTATTCTTCCTGCCGAAGTGCAAAACCATACATTTCCCCACATTGTATTTCACCTGTTTTCAAGCTTTTGTCCACTTGCTTAATCTGTCTATATCTCTCTGCAGACTCTGCATCATCAACAACACTTGCTTTCCCACGTATTTTTGTGTCACCCACAAACTTGACTATAGTACATTCACCTTCCTCATCCATATCATTAATATATATTGAAAATAATTGTTGCCCCAACACTAACCCCTGTGGCACTACACTAGTTACAGGTTACCATCCTGAAAATGCCCTCCTTATCCCAATTCTGTCTTCTATTAGTTAGCCAATCCTCTATCCACGCTAATATACTACCTCCACACCATGGGTACTTATCTTCTTAATTTATCTAATGTGCCTTATCAAGTGCCACCTGAAAATCTAAACATATTACATCCACTGCTCCCTTTTTGTCCATCTGCCTTGATAGCTCCTCAGAGAATTCTAATTAATTTGTCAGACATTATATCCTGTTCATGAAGCCACTTTGTTTGACTTTGTTTGATCATGCAATGTATTTCTAAATGGTCTGCTATTATATCCCTTGTAATAGGCTCTAATATTTTTCCAATAATGACATTAAGCTAACTAAACTCTAGTTACATTTCTTTTGTCTGCTTCCCTTTGTAAATAAAGGTCATCCTGATGTACTTGACAGTGAATTAAGTATAATTGAAGTGTAGACAATGTTGTAATGCTAGATATGCTGTAGCCCATTCACAATGCACAGTCTATTAACTCACAATACATAACAAATAGGAGAAAACCATTTGCCCCTTGTTTCTAGTCCATACTCAATAATAAGAGTATTGGTTGATCTGCTTGGGGTTTTAACTTCACATTTCTGTCTGCCCTCCCGTAACCCTTGACTCCTTTGTCAAACAAGAATCAGTCTAACTCAGCCTTGAATATATTCAATGATGGATCTACCACAGCTCGCTGACATAATAACCACCATCTGAATAAAAATCCTATTCATTTTAATCTTTTTTTAATCTGTGTCCACAAGTTCTAACTTTCCACTCAAATACACACATGTACATTCACAATTCAGAAAGATGGAAGAGAAACAGGTTTACACAGACCAATAGAAATGAATATTGACAGGGTAAATCAAGTTCCAAAGATCTCAAGTCCAAACTTCAATGATGGGTTAAATTGTCTCTCACAGTCTTTCATATTTTTTTTTCCTTCAATTCAATGTTTGATCAGATAGACCTAGGCCTTGTTAGAATTCTCTCTTTTAAACTTTCTTGAGTTTCCATATTTTTCTCATCAAGAGAGAAGGAGGGATAGATGCTTTCGGTTTGTACACTGTGGAAGTTTCTCTCACTGCCATCCTAACTCATAACTTTTTACAGTCTGCAGCTCAACCAATCAGTGTGTTATCAATAGACAGACTTTCTTTTCTCAAAACACTCTCAGTGCCACTCAATCTGAAATTCTCTCCCTCATTGCTTCTAAAAGCAACATTGTCAGATACAAAGAAGAATAAGTTGCACTGAATTTTCAAGTTGGAAAACTCTCCTGGTATTTATTATATAGCAGTCCAACTTTCATTTCACTTTATAGTCCTACGAAAAGGAAAATATATGGTCTCACTGATGCTTTGTACAATTGTTGTAAGACCCCTGCACTATATACTGAATCTCCTTTATAATAATGTGGACAACCTCAGGCCTTCCTTCAGTTTACTCCAGCTGCCAAACTTTTGCCCACCACACAAACTATCTTTAAAGACACCACTGCAAAGGGATAATGGTGCTGGAATCCCAGGACTTGTGCTCTCTCACACTTTCCTAGTGTTGGCTGATGCAATATCCAGCTGGCAAAGGCCCTCTGAGAAATAAGAAGCACCGATCAAGGGAGGTAGGGATGGTGAGGAGGGAAGGCAAAGAGTCTGAAAGGGTTAATACTGAGGAGTGCCTTGATAATGTGAAATGGACTTGCAGACAGAATATCTTGGGATCATGAAGGAGTGAGCCCTAGTATTCAAATCCTTCTCGTAATCTCTGTAAGAGTGTCTGTCATAGTCTGAGACTGCGTCTCCTGGTTCTAGACCTCTCCTGCCTCCCAAATCCTTCCTGCATCTACCCTGTCAAGCCCTGTAAGAATTTTGTATGCCGCATAGTAAGGGGCTAACTCTGAAGAAGAGAAATGTTTCTTGCCACTGATCCTGGATTCAGGATGTTGATTTCTCATGTTTTCTATTAGAACTTCTCCTTTTCTCACTTCCTGCAGGAGAATCCAGATCATTCACAGTCCAGGTGCGTCAGGTGGAGGACTATCCTGTGGACATTTACTACTTGATGGATCTCTCATTCTCTATGAATGACGATTTGCAAACCATCCAGGAACTTGGCACAAGGGTGGCTGAAGAAATGGCCAAACTCACCAGCAACCTGCAGCTGGGCTTTGGAGCTTTTGTCGACAAGCCAGTTTCTCCATATATTTACATGACCTCAGAAGAAGAAATCAAAAACCCCTGCATTCAGTAAGCAAAGAAAGTCTTGTGTTTGTAGCTGTATATTCATCATCTTCATTAATACCAATTAAAATGACACAAACTGTGTAGGTGATAGTTCCCAATGCTCCCAACACTTGAGAAATCCTTGTAGTCTATGTAGCAGACTGGTGCTAATACTAATAGTAATAACTAATAATAGAGTCTTAGAGTTGTATAGCACAGAAACAGACTCTTCGGTCCAACCCGTCCATGCCTACCAAATATCCTACATTAATCTAGTCCTGTTTGCAAGCATTTGGCCCACATCCCTAAACCCTTCCTATTCATGCATCTATCCAAATGGTTTTAAATGTTGTAACTGTGCCTGCCTCCACCACTTCCTCTGGCAGCTCATTGCATGCACATACCACCCTCTGTGTGGAAAAAGTTGCCCCTCAGGTCTATTTTAACCCTTCCCCTTCTCAACTTAAATCTATGCCCTCTAGTTTTGGACTCCCCTACCCTGGGAAAAATACCTTGGTGATTCAACCTATCAATGACCTTCATGATTTTATAAACCTCTATAAGGTCACCCTCAGCCTCCAATGCTCCAGGGGAAGACAAGTCCCAGTCTATTGAGCCCCTTCCTATAGCTCAAACCCTCCAACCTGGCAAACATCCCTGTATATCTTTTCTGAACCCTTTCAAGTTTAACAACATTCTTACTCACATTAATACTCAAAACACCAAGATGTGAATAAATTTCAATAATTTTGGAAATTCACACACTAAAAAGTGAGATTACCCCACTCCAGGGGGCTGAGGGAGCACTGCATTGTTGAGGGTGCCATTATTTAGATGACATTTTAAACCAAGGCTTCTTCAAGCGTGAAATGATAAAAATCTTAAAGTCTACTTTGGAGAGCAGCAAGAAATTATCCCCATTATCCTGGCTAATAATTATCCCTCAACCAACAACACTGAAAACTAACACAGTTAACACAGATCATGATCATTTTGCTGCCTGTGAAAGTATTCACGGCACGAATTAGAAACCGGTTTCCCTGTTCTACAATAGTGACTACTTTGAAAAGTTGCTTTGGGTTGCGCTGAGGTTATAATGCCACCTCTAGCCACTTCTAGCAGCATGCCAGCACCAAAAATATCTTACCCTCCCCTAAGAGTTCACACTCCACAGGGAATGTTCCTTCCATGGCACCCTAGTCCATTCCTCGTACCACTCTTAACATTTCCTCACCTCAGCCATCACTTCGTTCAATCTTATCTACTGCCTTTGCTGTTCAAAACACATTCCCCTTTATATTTAGGAAGACCATACAAAGACTGGATGACTACTTTACAAAACAGCTCCATTGTGTCCAAATCAATGATCCTGACCTTCCAGTTTCTTGCCATATCAATTAAACACATTGCTCCCATAATAACAACTCTATCTTGGTGTTACTGTAACACAAACACTTCATTTTCTCATTGGGCACTTTACAGTGTTCAGCACTCAATATTGACTTTGACAAGCTCAGAACATTGTCCTCCGTTTTGATTACAACACGCCACTCGTTTCCAATGTCATGTCCGTGTCTTCTTGGCTTTTATCTAAGTAGCGCTAACCTATTTACTCGTTTTCACATCTATCGTTAACACCTATTTTACATCCCAATCCCTCCTTTACCACTATTCTCACTCCCTTTATTTTTTGCCCATGGAATCCTCACCATTTGTTCCACGGATACTTCCTCCCACCCTACCAATAGCCTCAAAATCATAATCTTTCAGCCCCTTTTAGTTCTGAAGAAGAGTCATACAGACTTGAAACATTACCTCTGTTTCTCTCTCCATCACATTTATTTTCATTTTTATAATTTGCAAGACTTCCCTTGTTTCTGTAAATTCACATTGTATAAATAAAACATAAAGTCAAGTTCATGATTTTAAAATGCAGACTTAATTTTACCTGCATACCCAAGTACAAGTTCATTGAGCTACTGGTCCCAGAACCATTTTTGTTCACTTTCTCTGAAACCTCTCCAATGCATCAATATCTTTTGCAGGAAGACTACTCAATATAACAGTAAACTGGTGCTACCAGTGAGTGTACAGGGATTCTACCGTTCCATTCCAGTGTATTACTGAACACTGCACACATTTACAATAGCTTCAATAAAAACAGAAAGTGCTGGAGAAACTCAGCAGGTCTGGCAGCCTCTGTGGTGACAGAAACAGAGTTAATGCTTCTGCCAATGATCTTTCATCAGAACTTTGTGTTTCTAGCATTTTCTGCTTTTATTTCAGCTTTCCAACATCTCCAATATTTTGGTATTATACACAATAGTTTCACATTGATTGGACACTCTTATTAAATGGTAGGACCACCCAACTTTTGTTAATTGATGTCCCTTCACTGTCAACAATAATAATTTGTTTGTATATTGTACTTTTGTGTCATGACTCATTGGAGTAAATCAAGCCTCACTGTAAATACATTTTGACTGAGTTGCTGAGTACCTTTTCTGATTAATCTCCAAGTAATGCAGAGATAATTTAAACAGTTTATTTACATGACTTAAACTTCTTGGAACTTCAAAGAACTTTCAACATACAGGCTGTCATAGCTAGGAGCAGCATGTCTAATTTTTCTCTAGAATTTTCTGAGCTTCAAGAGTTAGTCACTTGACTCACTAGCTCTACCCACAAGATCATGCAACTAAGCATTACATGAGGATCAGTAATCTGACAGGCTTAATCTGACACTATGCAATAGCCCAGAGCTAAGCCCATATTGCATTTGGCATGGGAAAGCTCAATATTCACATTGAAACAGAAATTGTTCCTCCCCCAGCATAACAGGCCTTAGCACTGATGAGAACCAGGATGAGAGGGATTTCACAAGGATACTAAAGAAACTGGGTTCACTCTCCTTTGAACAGAGAAAGCAAAGTGGAGATTTAACATATAGCATACATTCGATAGATATTTATGATGTTTTTGATGTAGGAGCAAGGGAAGAACCTGACAGTTTGATTTAAAAGCAGAGGTATACAGGGTTAAAATGAATGTCAGAAGGATCAAGGGAAATGAAGAGTTCTTTTTTAACACAGCAAGTTGTTAACGGTCTGGAATGTACTTCCTTGAAAGGGTGGAGATTGCTGATTCAATTATAACTTCCAAACAGGATTGCATTTCGACATTTCATTTTCAGGATTACGCAGATGGAGTTAGAGAAGTGGGATTGATTGGATTGCTCTTTCAGAGATCCAGCCCAAGTGCTGAATGGCCTCTTTATGTGGTAAGAGTCTAAGCACAAGACCAATGTTCATTCAGATTTCTGTGATTTCATTTTTAAGACTTGGCAGCACGTGTAGACCTGTCTTTGGATTTATAAATGCACTCAAGCTGACTGAAGAAGTTAAGAAGTTTAATGAGAAAGTAGTTAAACAACAAGTTTCTCGAAATCGCGATACACCGGAAGGGGGGATGGATGCCATACTTCAAGCCACAGTGTGCACGGTGAGTAAAGCTAGATCTTGCCCATCGCCCAACAGAGCTCCTGCTAAGAGATAGTAGGAACTGCAGATGCTGGAGAATCTGAGATAACAAGGTGTAGAGCTGAATGAACACAGCAGGCCAAGCAGCCCGAAATGTCAGCCTTCCTGCTCCTCTGATGCTGCTTGGCCTGCTGTGTTCATCCAGCTCTACACCTTGTTATCTCAGAGCTCCTGCTAATACGGGTTATCAGAAGGAAGGGCCTGCACCTCAAAGCACTCCCATTCATATTTCTTCCCTCAGTCCCAGCATTCACCAGTCTTACCATCCTACTGCAGATGCCACTTTTATGGCCAGGGATATCACCCAACTTACAAACTCCTCTCAGGCATCAAACACTTGGCTTCACAGACTCATAACAGAGATTATCATTATGTGGAAATATAAAGAAATTAAAAAGCAAATCCAGGCCATTACTCTAAGCAGTTTGGGCAGTCATTTATCCATCACTAGCTCAAATTATATGTGCCCCCTCTGCCTGAGTGTTGGCACTCCTAAATACCAGCAGTGCCAGTGTTGGAAACCAGTTTTGCCACTATATGAACTATATCGAGAATCACAGTCCTACAGATTCCATTTCTGCCTCTCCATCTCTGCAGGAGTTCCTCAGGGTAGTGTCCTGGGCTCAACCATCTTCAAATGCTTCATCAATGACCTTCCCTCCAACATAAGGTCAGAATTGGGAATGTTTGCCAATGACTGCACAATGTTCAGCACCATTTGCGACACCTTAAATACTGAAGCAGTTCAAGTTCAACTGCAACAAGATCTGAACAATATCCAGGCTTAGGCTGACAAGTGGAAAGTAACGTTTGCACCACACAAATGCCAGGCAGTGACCATCTCCAATAAGGGACAATCTAACCATCACCCCTTGACATTCAATGATGTTGCCATCACCGATTCTCTCACTATCAACATCCTGGAGGTTACCATTTACCAGAAACTCAATTGGATTTACCACATAAACACTGGCTACTAGGGCAAGTCACAGGCTAAGAATACTGTGGTGAGTAACTCACCTCCTGACTCCCCAAAGCCTGTCCACCATCTACAAGGCACAAGTCAGGAGTGTAATGGAATACTCAACACTTGTCTGGATGAGTGCAGATCCAACAGCACTCAAGAAGCTTGATACTATCCAGGACAAAACAGTCCACTTGATTAGCACCACATCCACAGCAAGCACCAATGCTCAGTATCTACAAGATGCACTGCAGAAGATCTTCAGGCAGCACCTTCCAAACCCACAACCACTTCCATCCAAAAGGACAAAGGCAGCAGATATAAAGGAACACCACTCTCTGCAAGTTCCCCTCCAAGCCACTCATCATCCTGACTTGGAAATATATTGCTATTCCTTCTCTGTTGCTGGGTCAAAATCCTGGAATTCCCTCTCTAATGGCATTGTGGGTCAACCCACAGCAGGCGGACTGCAGTGGTTCAAGAAGGCAGCTCACTGCCACCTTCTCAAGGGCAACTACAGACAGGAAATGAATAGTGGCCCAGCCAGCACTGGCAACATCCCACAAGTGAATAACAAAAAAAATCCACATTACACTGATTTGTGATCAGTGATGTGGACCAGAGCTGGTGTCTTTCTTTGCTAAAGAATGACCTAGCAAGCCATACAGTTGTACAATCATGAGCAATAAATGTTAGCCACGGCACTCACCTGTGAATGACTTTTTAAAATAAAAGTTGACAGAAAGTCTCTCCAGCTAAGATGAGACAGTCTTTAAAGCCCCAGAAACTGTGATTGAATCCTGCCTAATGGTGATGGCTGTGAGGTGCAATACCACCAGGAGATCTCAGAGATTCTGTCCATGGAGCCAATGAGGGGAGGATAAGGGTTAACTGGTATGGTCTTCCTCCGCCCCTCACATACAACTACATCAGAGTTTTGTACAGCCAATCACAGTCAATGGAGATTCTGAGAATCAAACTATGCCAAAACGGATCTGCAGTGATGAAAGAATCAAGAAACAAAATAGATCAAAGGAATGTGAAAATATGAATAGGCCATTTGGCCCCTCAAGTGTGATTCTATCTTGTTAGATAATTGAATAACTGGATGAACTAAATTTCCTTCCTTTCATCCTTGATCCCTGTTACCCTTAAATAATCGCAGTCAATTATTTTTCGACCAGTAGCAATGTCACTGAATCCATTTGTTGAAATGTCTTTTAGGTGTAAGACATCCAAATTCCATCAGATTTTTAATGGATGCTGTAATACTCTTTCTGCATTTTTTTGGCATGTTTGCCACATTTTGTTGTATGTGTGTGGGGTTTGCTGGAAGGAATGTGAATACTTCTAATGAATTCATTATTTGCTTCAGGATGACATTGGTTGGCGTCAGGAGGCCACACACATGTTGGTCTTTGTCAGTGATGCTGGCTCACACTTTGCACTGGATGGCAGGCTGGCTGGTATCACCCACCCTAATGATGGGCATTGCCACATGAGTCTGGACAATGAGTACAATGCCTCCACTATCCTGGTACGTTCCGAAAGCAATACGTTTCTAGTAAGGTAACAGCGCGGATTGGTTAAGGGCCATTGGCTCCATCAAGTTACACCAAATACTCCACTTCAGCTGTCTGAACTGCTGGGTGAAAAGTCTAGATAGATGCACCTTGATTTCTGAAAAGCATTCATCCATTCTGACATCTCCTAGTCACTAGTCTCCCCAGCCTTTCCCTCTCTCACAGCCATCAATCTCCCAGTAGCACTGGTCTACAGCCATCAAGTATTCACTTTCTCAGTCTACACCTACTCTTGGGATCCTCCAATCTCTATCGGCTATCCAAACATTACCCAGTTCACTCTGCAGGGTCTTAGCTGTGCTTTCCACCAATTGTAATGAAATTGTAATAAAATTTTCTTCGTGCAACACAATCTAAAAGCAAGACCCAGGAGGATGTTCACCTCTGAATCAGAGATGGCATGGTGGCACAGTGGCACAGTGGTTAGCACTGCTGCCTCACAGCACCAGGGACCCAGGTTCAACTCCAGTCTCAGGCGACTGTCTGTGTGGAGTTTGCACGTTCTCCCCGTGTCTGTGTGGGTTTCCTCCCACAGTCCAAAGATGTGCAGGCTAGGTTGATTGGCTATGCTAAATTGCCCGTAGTGTTCAGGGAGGTGTAGATTAGGTCAATTATAGGGGAATGGGTCTGGGTGGGATGCTGTGAGGTTTGGTGTGGACTTGTTGGGCCGAAGGGCCTGTTTCCGCACTGTAGGGATTCTATGAAAAAAAAAGATGGTTGTGGTTAAAACCCATGCCAGTGTAATATTGAAGGAGTGCTGCATTCTTGTAGATACTGCCTCTTAAACACAATGTTAAATTGAGGCCCCAGAAAGACATAACAAATAGGAGTAGGCCATCTGACCCCCAAGCCTGCTCTGCATTTCAATAAGACCATGGCTGATCTTTTCGTTGACTCAGCTCCACTTACCCGCTGGCTCACCATAACCCTTAATTCCTTTACTGTTCAAAAATCTATTTATCTTTCCCTTTAAAACATTCATTGTGCTCACCTCAACTATTTCACTGGGCAGGGAATTCCAAAGATTCACAACGCTTTGAGTGAAGAAGTTCTTCCTCAACTCAGCCCTAAATCTGCTGCCTCCTATTTTGAGGCTATGCCCCCTAGTTCTAGTTTCACCCACCTGTGGAAACAATCTCCCTGCTTATATTTTATCTATTCCCTTCATAATTTTATATGGCACTATTTTGAAGAGTTCACTGTTGCCCACACATTGAACAAGAAATAGATGCTCTGGTCATTTATTTCACCCTGTTTACCTAACAAGTCACAAATCATACAATCAGGTAACAATTTACTCACTTTCCAATTAGAGTGCAAAGCCATAATTGGTGATGATGGACTTGCCCAGAATTAATGGCATGAATGTGGGGGAATGGGGTCATGGTGAATAGCATCTAACTGATGAACTGCAACAATTAGCTTCTAAACTCTTCAGATCCAGTCATGAGATATCAAAACTGAACCAAGGCTTAAGAGAGGAGTTTTATTTTGAGTATCTGGAAACAAAACTCTCATCTTCATATGTTTCATGTTTCAGGATTACCCATCACTTGCTATGCTGGCTGAAAAACTCACGGAGAATAACATCTTTCTGATCTTTGCAGTCACTAGTCAGGTCACTGAGATATACAGGGTAAGCTTTAGAGAAATGTAAGACCCTCACGGAAAGAAGAAGCGACAAACTCAGAGGCCGATGTAACTTCCTAATGATATTGCCAGTTCAGCTAACGGGTTCAGAGTGTCCTTTTCTGTCCTAGAGGATAGCTGAGGAAACCTGATCAGGAGGTGGCCCCTGCATTAAATTCCAAATCTTAACTGATCATTACCTGTTTGGTCACTGTCCGTTGGTTTATCTTGTGTTCAATTTAATGTTGTCATTGTTGGCTAGTCATGTTCTCTATAATGCTTTACTATTCGGCGGAGATCCGTGTGTGACATGGACGTGCAAGAAATCAATCCTGGGAATGGTGCCGATCAGCCAGCATGGCCCCTCATCGCTGGCTTGGCCACCACTGATTGCCCAGAGCTAATTGCCATTGAGGAGGTGGTACTGCCTCCATACTGAACTACCACAGTCAGTGTGTGGGTACACCCCCAGCGCTGTTTGGAAGGGAGTTGCAAGACTTTGAGACAATGACAGTAAATGATGATACACTTCCAGGTCAGGACGGTATACAATTCGGAGGGGAGCTTGCAGGTAGGAGTATTCCCATGTACTATGTAAAGCAGTAGGTACCTGAAAGAGTTAACTGACATCACAAGATAATCTCCACCCATCTAAAGGAATTTACTTGGGAGGATTTAACCACAGCTGAACAGATTTCTTGATATGTTCATCAGAGAGAATAGTTAGCAGTGTGTTCAGTATATTTTAACAGTGTACTCTTACATTGACCCTGGTGTCTTCAGGAGACAATCATGTATCTTAGGTATAATGTAAGTAGCCAGTACATACACTGTAATAAGCCCAGAATGCTAGAAATAAGAGTGAACCTGTCTTCTGTTGAAGATGTATGTGACCAGTTTTACCCACTTAGCATCATGAGCTTCAACAGAAGGAATGGTGGCATCCAATCTACCACTATTGTAAGACCATGTAACTACTTTCCAGATCTATTATTTTCCTCCTCTTTCCCCTTCTTTCATTCTCCCTTACAATCTAATATTCACAGCCGAAACTTACCAGCCCACTCGCTGGCCTCCCAGCGTACCAGCCCACTCCCTGGGGTCCCCCATTTACCAGCCAACTCCCTGGCCCCCCTCACATACCAGTGGTAGACTGGATGCTCACAACACCATCCCCCACTTCCCTCCACTTACTAGCCCACTCCCTGGCCTGTCCCGACATACCATCCCAGTCCCTGGGGTCTCCCGTGTACCAGCCCGCACCCTGGCTTCCTGTTTATTTTTTAACTAACAGATATTAAATGAGCAATTTGTATCTCTCTTCACATTATGGATGAGTGTCACAGTGCTGTCAGCGAGATTGGAGACATTTGACTTAATAAAAATAGATAGTAAAAATTGCTGTAAGTTAACATGTCACATGGCCTAAGTAGGATGAGGAATGAAGATTAATAAGGCAGTCAGTACAGAAGGCACAGTTGAGACACTATGCACCTATCTTCACCACAAAAAAGATACTGACAATGTCATTGTGGAAGAGAAGGTAATTAAGGCATAGGGTGACTGATATAGAAACAATAAAATAAAAACAAAGAACTATAGATTCTGGAGATCTAAAATAAAAGCAGAAATTGCCAGAGAAACTCAGTCGGTCTGCAAACAAAGATACCGTTTCGAGTCCTCTTAAGAGTCACCGGACTTGAAACATTGATTCTGCTTTCTTCCTACAGATGCTGCCATACCTGCTGAGTTTCTCCAGTAATTTCTGTTTTTGTTACAGAAACATTGTTAATAATTTATCAATACTCCTTGGGCAGCATCTTCTAAACTCACAACCTCTGCAGCAGCAGACACATTTCCATCTGCAAATTCCTGTCCAAGCCACTTACCATCCTGATTTGGAAGTATCTCACTGTTCTTTGACTGTCACTGGGTCAAAATCTCCCCCTAACAATACTGTGGGTCTACCTACAGCACAGGGAACTACAGCATGTTAAGAAGGCAGCTCACTACCACCTTCTCAATCCTCCTCAAATACAGTAATGGTGCCAGAGGACTGGAGAATTATAAATGTTATACCCATGGTTGAAAGAGGTATGAGGATAAGCCCAGTTAGGACAGGCAGTCAGTTTAACCTCAGTGATAGGAAATGTATTAGGAATTCAATGAACTTGGGCAAATGTGCATTAAGGAAAACAAGCAGGGATTTGTCACCTCTTCTATTGAAACTTCATTTCTGGGCTTCTGTCTGTCAGTTTCCAAAAGGCAAGGAGGCTGATAAATATGGCGATGGATACAAATTGTTAAAGTCATGCCTCGACTTTAGACACAAACAACTTCTGGTAAAATCCCTTACTTTCTGAAGTGTGTGACATTCACATGAGTACCTGTACAAGGTCACTAACAACAAGCTGGAATCAGGGAATGGATCAAGGGGTTAACCTGAAATGGATTAACAAGTTGGAGAGTGAAATCAATTGATGACTGGCTTGATTGTCGATGGGAGGGAATATCTTGAAATTTCAGATGACTGAAGCCTTATGTTGTGTAATCTTGCTTACTCCACAGAGTTACACTAAAATGCTTCCTGGTTCTACAGTTGGCACCATTTCCAGGGACTCCAGCAATGTCCTAGATATCATCATTGATGCCTATGAGGTAAGTTTGATCACAACTCACAGAAGTAACTATAACCTGAGAAACTACGATTCGGGCTACTGTAACTGCTCCTGCAGAAGTTCCAGACCAGGCTTCAGCTTCTTCTCCCAAGGAGCTCCATCCCAAATGGCATGAATCCTAGATTACTAAAGGCAGTCGGGAAGGAGACACCAAGCAGAATTTTCCAATATTGTTTGGAAATGGGAAAAGTGCCACCAAGGACTGGAAACTGAGGGATGTCTCATTCCTGTTCAAGAAAGGAAAGAGAGATAAACCAGTGGAAAATAGAGCAAGTTCATATATACCTGGAAATGATAAATTAAAGATTCACAGGTCCGGAAATGAGAGGTGAGGGAAACCATTGATGAAGGAATAATAGTCCAAGGAACTACAGATCAGGCACAGATAGGCCAGGGACAGTAGGACAAGCAAGAACAAAATTAGTTTTTAAATTAATATCTGTGCTCTTCCTTATCTTCAGAGAATCCGCTCCATTGTGGAAATGGAAGTTTTGAATCTGCCAAAGGAACTATCAGTATCCTTCGATGCTTACTGTGGGGATAATGGATTTTTCCCAGGACAGAGAGTCTGCTCAGGGCTGAAGATTGGAGACACAGTAAGTAGGGCAAAAGGCAAGCCCATTGAGCAGAGCTGAACACCAGCTTGTTAGCACGGTAACATCCACTTACATCCTTATTCAATACCCATGAGGACACAGGAGAGCTGGTTTTGGATCTAAATATTGTACATTGGCACTACAACACTCAGAATCCTACAGCAACATTCTGAGATTTGTTCTGTGGTGTTGTAATTCTTACACAGTCACTGCAGACCTTTGTAGCCGTGCTCTTTGAGATGAACTTTGACCCCAATTTTCATTTCCAGGTTGTGACCACAGAGACCAGACATTTCCCAATCCTGCAAACCCAACCGAGGAAGGCTAGTCCAGAAGGCTGGATATTTATTTCAGCGTACTGGAGCAGTCTAGGAGGTGGACAGTGTGAGTGTGAGGAGGTGCCACTGGCTGTGGATGAACCTGGCTACGTGGCCAACCTCCCTGCACTGGGGCACTATACTGTAGTGTAGTGAAGAAAAAAAGAATGAAACTCAAAACACTGCTCCAGCCCTCACACTGTACAGCCCCTGGTTCCCCACACACAATGCCCATGTCCCATCTATGCTGTTCCATGCCAATTCATATCCTTCATGTCACCCCTTGCCCCTCTACCCATCCCCAATGGCACATCCTACCTCTAATGCTCCCTTACCCAGCCCCATGATACCTCATTACGCTCAAGCTAACCTGTGTTGCGGTATTCACCATCCCAGCCCTTTATACTCCCAATGTCAAATTAGTGCCAACTCATGCCACCACACAGCTCCACCCACATTATTTTCTTGCCCCTTCCATGCTAACTCACTACCTTGAGTGAAGCTCAGGAGCCAAGTTGACATAAAATAATGTTATCTGTCTATTGATGACATCTCTAATTAAAAGGCATACTTTTATGGACAATAAAACATAATTAGCAATACATTGATATTCCTTCAACCAAACCTCTTACGAAAACAAAACTTGTTTCCTAAAATGTATTCATTTTGTCATAGCTTTTCATCTTGTATTCATCAGGACAATTCACAAGAATACCAATTCAAAGGGAAAATCAACAATTCATACTGTATGAGAAAAGTGTGTTGATTGGTTGCTAATGTAGTTTGATTGGTAGAAGCTTTGCTATACAGAGTGCGGTCTCTGCATTTGCAGTGATTCTTCAAAATGGACAATTGCTGAATAATCCTGAATGTGTGAAAACTGCACTATCAATCAATTCAGGATGGTCAGTCATGCTCATAGGATGACACATTTGTGTGCAGTGTTCCCTCACCATTCCACTGTTCTGCACACAGTGATTGGCAAGTTGATGTGAACTGCAGCAGTGAGTCTGGTTCTGGTTTTCACATTGAATAAAGTGAAATTCAATGTGCCAGCAATTAAACAATAACATAGTTAGCCTATCCACGTTCCCCAATACTGCTCACTCCTTCCTATCCTATCTCTGCCTGTTATGGACCAGACCAGACCCCTTAAAATATTTTAAGAACGTAGCCCACACTCTAACTTTTTCTTATTTTGAAAGCAAATGTAAAGTGCCATGTTTCAGATGCTGCTCAATGTTAAGCAAAACACAATTTATTCAAACACTATAGTTAAAATACAATAAAAGAAAGAAGAATGTAGAATAACTTAACTCTATTGGAAAATAATAGATACAGTAACTATTACTAATTAAATGTTCCAATATAATAACATCGCATAAACACACCCTTTGGCAAAATTGCAAAGTCAGAAGTCAGATTATCTCACATGCAACGCTTGCAGTAGGAACAGAAACCTCAGCTTCTAACTGAGAGAAGGGAAAATTTGCTTCTACTTCTTCAAAACTCCAGCAGCTTCTGCCAAATTTAAAAGCTTAAAAAATACTAGAAATTCTGATCTGTGATGGCCTCACCCATTCGGCTGTTCCTATTGTTCCACCTTCTAAAAACAAAACCCAAGGCCTCAAGCTGTTTATGTTACCACAGACTGTTCAGTACCTCTCACTCAATCTGTCTCTCAAAAGAAACCAGGACAAAATACACCTCTTAAAGCTACAGCATCATCACACCCCCACCCCTCCCCCCGTCTTTTCCTCTTTCTCTTTCCTCAACCTGATCCCCTGATGCTTCCCCATCATTTCTGATTCCCCTTCACCTCCCTCCTCATTCCTGTCTCTCCTTTAAGTTTTCCCCTCCATCCTCCTTCTCTTACCCTTCCTCCCATCTCTCCCACCTCCATCCTTTCTGTCCATCTTGCTCTCTGTACAGTCTGAAAGGTGGCATTGTTAGAAGGTCCTAAAAGAATGAAGGGGTTTGATAGGGTAGGAGCAGTGTAGATTTTCCCGCTTGTTTGCAAGTCCGAGCCTACTGGATATCAATATAATCCAATAAGAAATTCAGTAGAAGTATTGTCACCTAGAGAGTGGTGAGAATGCGGAACTTGCTACAATATAGAATAGTTGAAGTTGTAGCGTTAATGGGAAATTAGATAATCACATGCCAATAGGGTGAAAGACAGTAAGGAGACTGGTGTGCTGCTTAAAACACCGGCATAGAGCTGTCAGAGTAGGGTGGTCGGTTAACTCAATTGGCTGGATAGCTGGTTTATGATAAAGAGTGATAACAAAACCAAGGGTTCAATTCTTGCCTCAGCTGAGGTTACCCTGAAGGACTCTCCTTCTCAGTCTCTCCCTTCACCTGAGGCATGGTGACCTTTGGGTTAAACTGCCACCAGTCATCTCTCTCTAAAGAGACAGCATCTAATGGTATTCCAGGATTATGGTTTTAAAGAGCTGTTGGACCAAATGGCTGTACTATAACACGGATACAACAGTCAGAACTCAGTTCTACATTGTGTTAAAGGAGGAAGGAAATTTTCTCTCCATCCACACCAACCTCGTGGCCCATGCTGGCATGTGAATATTTCAGACTAAGCATTGCCAAAGGTGTAAATGAGGAATGTCTTGTGACATAAATTCCTTGTCAGAGTCTAATCTGCCTTATTATTTTTAACCCATTCGTAACAGTCCATAAGAGGAACTTGGGACCAACTTAGTGATGAACATCAGGGCCTTACATGGTTTTCAGCACCAAAGCCTCTTGTGATTATTACTGCTTGACCTTAGCAACAGATGCCATGAAAACCACAGTCACCATGTGTTTAAGGAAGCTGGTTTTGAAGAAACTCTTCTCTCAATCTTGCCCCAAGTGCAGCATCAATTACTACATCACATTCCTTCAATAATAATTGCAATTAAGCCTTAAATTCCTTTTATGTGATATAGAATTAGTCAAAGTGTAATTACATAATTTCCCAAACTGCAAAGGTGAGCCTAATTAAAAAGTATCCCAGGGCCTAAGCCTAAATGATTAATTAAAATGTGATTAAAGGCAACAGGAAGTTCTGATGTGCTTTAATTCCTTCAAGATTAACCAAATATCTTAACACTTCATGTTCCAAATTCTTTTTGAACCTAACAACTTAATGACTAATACTTTGTTTAATGTATTGAGCTCAACACGTCCATGTTAAATGCTTAAAAGCACATAATGCAAGCCTCCTCGAAACAATCAATATCCTTTTCCTTTCTCTGTCTTACTCTCATCGAGCTTTCCATAAAGGAATCAAGAACTACTTATATACAGGAGATGGTAGACATGAGTGAAAGAGTGTGAGATAGGATTTCAGAAAACTTCTGAAGAAGATGGTAGACCTGAAGAGGGATAGGGAAGGCGTATCAGACACTAGGGCAGTTGCTGTTGGCACGGGCCATTCCTACCAGCTGCAAACTCAGCGATAGCCATACAATGTGTCATCTGAGAAAGACCCTCTAGACGTTCTGCCAGTTGGTCAGCAGTAGACCATGGTCTGGAATTAGATCCAAGGGGGTGAAAATCTCTCCCAATAGGGGCTTCTAACCAATCAGATTCTGGTAGGAGGCTGGGAGAGCAAACCCAGATTCCAAGGATCCAGGAGAAAGGGAAGTGGTTTATGTGGGGGTTGGGCTTCTGGGGTTTAGAGATTGTGAGGAGAGGGCGCAAGGGACTTCGAAGCAAGAGCATGAGTTTGGCTCTCAGTGGACACCTGTCTGTCTGATGTCAATGCTCTCGATCAGGCACCAAGTACCTTTGATCCAGGACCAGGAGAACTCTATCCTTATTGTGGAAGGGAAGGAAATCAATCACATCTCACTGTTCTAATACAAGGAACAATGTGTGGACCAGCACTAGAGACCAATGCAATGGGTTTGGTGATGGGGCCAGGAGTTAATGCTTTCCACCCCAATGACATTCCCCTCACTGTGATAGTGATAAGTTGTTACATAAACTGCAGAAACAGTTGAGCATTAGTAATGCTAAAATGACAGGATAATATCAATAAACCTCTACTCAAACCCCAAGCAGTTATTACAACTTGTAGACATAAGCAGACATTGTTTAAGTTTTAAAGGGCAGATGATTTAAATAACTTGACAGTACGACAGTTCCACAAACTGTATCCACCTTTTGTGAGCTTTTATGCCTACTCTAAAAATTGTAACACTTACACTGTAGGATGTGACCCTTGCTCTAGTGAAGATGGTGTTTATATGAACTCAGTGCTGAGGTCAAAAGTTCAAGAGTCATACCAGGCTCAAAATGTTTTTCTCTCCACAGATGCTGCCAGATCCGCTGAGCTTCTGCAGCATTCTTTGTGATTGTGTCAAATGATCCTGTCACATCTGTGTTTCTCCAATGTGTGAGTCAAATAATGACGGCTGGTTTGCAATACGAGTGATGCCCAGAGTACAGGTTCAGTCTCCATAAGAGTCCCTTTTTTTCAACCTCTTCCCTTGCCTGAGGCGCAGTGACCCTCAGGTTAAACCGCTGCCAGTTATCTCTCCGTAATGAGAGGTCAACCCTTTATTTGTTGCCATTATCAACCCAAGTGCAATAACTATTACCTGTGGATTAATACTAGCTTATGAATTATGACACTATGAATTCAGATAGACCTTAAAACTTGTATTCTTCTTCTGGCCTGGCCAATATTCTTCTTTGAATCCACTCCAACAAAGATCATTCTGGTCATTCAATTTGTCACTGTTTAAATAATGGCATAAATTAATTACCAGATTCACCTTCATTACAGCAGTGACTGTGTTTCAAAGTAGTATACAGCACTTCAGTGCATCTTGAGCTTTGTAAAAATATCAAGTTCTTTTCTTGTCCACAGGTGAATTTCACGGTGAAATTGGAAGCCAGAGAGTGCCCAGTCGGTGAAAAGGTGAAGACATTTACAGTGAAACCCATTCTGTTTAGGGATTCCCTGGTGGTGACAGTTGATTTCAACTGTGACTGTGAGTGCGAGAAAGACGCAGTGGAAAACAGCACTCAGTGCTCCAATGGCAATGGGACCTATGAATGCGGAGTGTGCAAGTGTCTCCCAGGCCGCCTTGGCCCATCCTGTGAGTGCACAGACAGTGATTTCTCAGTGACTGAAGAGGCGTCCTGCACCCCAGAGGGTGGCGGACCCCTTTGCAATAACCGTGGGGAGTGCATTTGTGGACAGTGCGTCTGCCACAACAGTGACTTTGGAATCATATCCGGCAAGTTCTGTGAATGTGATGACTTTTCTTGTGGACGCTACAAGGGCGAGCTGTGCTCAGGTGAGTTGCAAAATCCACTGCTACTTGAAAATGTCAAAAAATAGTCTCAATATTTGTCCAATTGTCCATTACCAGTCAGTAGGAGGCACCTGTTACTGCCTTTCCTGGATTCCCACAGAATTCCCTTACCCAACACATCCTCACGCATTAGATCGCAACTGATCTGATTACAACTTCAACTCTATTCCTGCATATCCCCAATTAATCTTTCACCCTCTTAATAATCAAGAATCTATCTCCTTCTGCCTTAAAAATATTTAAAGATTCAGTATCCACTGCCTTGAAGAAAATTCCAAATATTCACAACCCTCTGACATAATCTTTTCTCCTTATCTCTGTTTTAAATAGGTGATGCCTTATTTTTAACCTTTGACCCCTAGTTTTATATTCACCCAAAAGAGGAAACAACATTTCAACATCCATCCAGTCAAGTGACCTCAGAATATTTATCAGTAATTATAAACTAGAGATTTGGAGTAAAATTCTCAAAACAGGGCTTAAATAAGTATTATTTTAAAATCTTCTTGCTGTGTGTAAACTGCATGCCACATTTTGTACATTGTAAAGGTGATTACTCCATTACAGCCATTAGGAAGATAAGACCTGGAAAGTCGAGATGGCTCTCCTTACAGAAACATAGGCCGAGAGGAGATTTGATGGAGGTATTCAAAATCTGTCCGTGCAGAGTAAATATTGAGAAATTGTTCCTCAATCATGACAGCACCAGGAAATGAGAGGCTACAGATTTAAAGTAATTGGCAAAATGAACAAAAACAAGTGACCAGGGTCTGGAAATACACTGCCAGAGAGTGTGGTGGAGGGGGGTTCAATTGAAAATATTCAGTAGGGAATTAGACCGTTATCTGAAAAGGAAAAGTGTGCAGAAGTACTGAGAGAATACAGGAAATGATACTGAGAGAAATGTTTATTTAGAGATCCATTACAGACAGAATGGGCTGAATGGCCTCTCTCTGCACCATAGCAACACTGTGATTCTGTGAGCACTTTGGAAGCACTTAGTTGGTTGTAAAGAGCTTTGGAATATCCAATGGTCATGAAAAGTGCTATATAAATGAATTCCATTTTATTTCTGAGGAAGGTTCACCGGACCTGAAATGTTAACTCTGATTTCTCTCCACAGATGCTGCCAGAGTTGCTGAACTTTTCCAGCAATTTCTGTTTTTGTTTCCATTTTTATTTCATTTGTCTCACATGGCTGATCTCTTATTTTACACAGGTTTAGCCTCTGTAGCCACCTTCAAGTCAGACAGTTGCAAATAGTTGAATTTTGACACCTTGTGTTTATTTAATTTCTGTAAGACAAGCCTGATGACATGAATTATGTAGGCCCCAGGTATTTGTAAAAGCTGTGGAAAAATGGAAAAAGCAGATGACCTGCCAGATCTAGAACTTCACTTGAATCTTTCTAATCTGGTCATTGGCCTGCAGCCAGGAAGATTATGAGGCATACCTGAGAGTGGGATTGAGGGAGAGAGAAAACTGTTGATCATCATCCCAAGCAGTGCCAGAAAGGCATTTTTTTGAAAATGCATTAATTCATGGGATACGGACATTGCTGGCTGGGCACTAGATTAAAGTGGCCAGGGTTTGGAAAATGCTGTCTGAGGAGCCTTGGTGAATTCCTGCAGTGCATCTTGTAGATGGTACACACTGGTGCGGGTTTATGTCAATGGTGGAGAGACAGTGAGTTTTGAAAGTGATGGATATGGTGCCAGCCAGGTGGGCTGTTTTGTCCTGGATGATGGCAAACTTTTTGAACATTGTTGAAGCTGCAGTCATCCAGGCAAGTGGGGAGTATTCCATCTCATTCCTCTCCTTGTAAATGGTGGACAGGCTTTGGGGAGTCATGAGGTGAGTCACTCTCCTAGTATTCATAGCCTCAAATCTGCTCTTGGATCCAGTAGCTCTAGCCTCCCATTAACTGGGTTTTCTGAGTCCTAGGAAACACAGCCAGTCAGCATTGAATTCAAAAGGCTGCCAAAATCGGTGGATCTCTGTCATTGATTTAGGAGGAATTCCGTCATCCTGTTCTGATGTGGACCAGTGCTGCTGGTCTCTTAGTGTCTCCCAAATCTGTTTCAGAAACCTGTCACTTTTGTTAGGTTCTGTTATACCTCATCCTGCACCAGCTCTTGGGAATGTAACTTAAAATCCACCTCTTGCACCTTGGTGACCCGTCAGGATGATTCCTTCATTGGCTGAGCAGACATTTTAGGCTGCATTTGGAGTTTTATCCACTTTACAGCACTACATAAATGCTAACTATTGTGGCCTTTTAGTTTGCAGAAATGGGCTATGATGGAGTGAGAGAGAGAGAGAGAGTGTGTGTGTGTGTTTGTGAGAGAGAGAGAGAGAAAAAAAAACTACGAAATCAAGAAAAGGTTCGAGGTAGAGGTAGGTCAAAGAGGACCAATGTTAGAAAGCTCCTTTGTGCACAAAGGGTTGTGGAAATGCACAACTCTCCCTCAAAAGGCTATAGTACAAATAGAACTTCGAAGACTGAGATTGATAGATCTCTGGTCAGGTAAGGTATTATCAAATATAGGACAAAGGCAGCTGAGTAAAGCTGAGGCACAGATTGGCTATGATCTCATTGAATGACTGAACAGAGAGCTGGCTGTGCTTTCCTCCTGTCTTCCCCTTTGTTGCCATTTTATCGTTTCTTAATGGTGTAGATGATTCATCTCATTATAATCTATACCATTGTGTTGAGCAACAAACCAAAAATGTTTCTCCAGAAGGTAGTTTTCACACAAGCCACAACTTTTATATAATGTGACAGAGAGGATGTTGTCTGTCAAATTAACTAAGCCACCCATATTCAGGCCCATATCCCTCTGATCATTGCAACATCTTCTGTTCCTTGCATCTCTTTCAATTAAATAACTCACTAAGACCTGGGTAGAGTGATATATGTTGAGAAAACAGCTTCTGTTTTTCCTGTTCATCAACCTGACTTCTGGAAGTAGCCGATGTAGACTTTAACACGTTTAGATTATAAATGCCCAGGAACTACCAGACCAGGAAACTACATGCTTAAAATTCTGTGTCTGCTAATTGCTTTCCAGCCTTCACTCCCCCCTGGAGCTACCTACATGACTAAACTTGCTGTCCTTTATGGACTTATCTCAAAGATTCTTCCTGATCTCAAAACTGTTTAGCTCCGTTGGTTTAAGCACCTAGCTAAATATTACCAAGGTCACAGGTTCAATACCTGTGCTGGCCACTGTGGCTGTTCATCCTTTACAATCTAATGCCTTACCCCATCTTGTATTGTGCAGAGAAAACTTGCAAGAAATGTGTGTGGTTTAATATTACCAAGAAAAGCTTGTCAGACTGGGTTTCTGCTCTTTTGTAAAAACAAAGCAAACGGGTGATCTAATAAAGGTCTTTAAAATGATGAAAGCTTTTAATACAGT